ATCATTGAGTCATCTGATAAAATAAACAAAAAGGTTAAATGACAACAGCTGTACTGTGTGATCGTAGAGAAATTAGTTATCAGTGACCAGCATGTGCATCTTGGTGAATCATGAGCACATATCAGAGGAAAGGTGGATTTTCATTGTTAAAATACAGAGGGTTTAACCTCTGGGTAAATCAAAGATACATCAAACCATCTCCCAGACCTTCCCTACAGGCAGCAGTTAAAATTTCCAAGACATAAAACAAGATAAAAGTAAGAATGAACGTCTTTTTCTCTGACAGTGCTGACACACACTAGCGGTTTGCCTGTGCGCAAACAATGTTATTGTTATTTTAAGTAATATTTTCTTGACTTTTGCATCAGATTTTTATCTCATCAGTTCAATCACAGTCTGGAGTGAATACACATCAATCTGAGAAATATGGCCCAGTCAAATGCAGTAACACAGACAATCACAGCAATGGGCTGTCAGTAAAAATAAACAACATTTACTTTTTGTGTCACACAAGCAGTAGAATATATTCCTCATAGATTGGTGATGCAAATGCATATAACCATGTTAAACCATGATCAAAGGGCATTTTCTGTGCTTCATTTTTTAAAAACATATAGGCTACTTGATGGTGCCATTGGTATACTGTACAGTCTCAGTGCAGTGTGATGCAACATTGCATCAAAGCCACCTATCTGTTAACCTATGCCAAGCTGTGTGTAAGCTGAGGGCCCCTATTAAAAAATATACTGCAACCCAAATGTGTTGCAACCGAGTCAAAATGTGCCATTCTCGCAGTAGCAAGGGGCACTTTCAAGCGCTGCCACTGTACCAAATACTTACTTTACCGGATATAACCATTTCCTTCAGCAGTGCGCATACTGTCTGTCTCTCCTGTGGCATTTAAAAACCTTCACTGAATCCCTTGTTCTCTTTGTGCTGTAAAGCGTTTGTACTGTGGCCTACATACTGCATACTTTGAGATTTAAAACCCCCCAAAAGTATCTGCAAAGGTCCCAGTGGGAAGTGTGACACTGTTTACAAGAGTGCTCCAGATATTTTATTGAACAACTATTATCTCAATCAGGATCGTCATCTCGTTCATACAAATTGAAAAAAAACGTTTTGCAAGATGCATTAGAACGTTTGAGGCCAACCATGATTGCATACCTTTTTAATGTGAACATTATCCATCTATCTTTCATTTGTCTGATATTGGGCCAGTTCAGTCTAGATTTTACTAAAGCCATCACATGAAGACACACTGGGGCAGCTACTTTATTGATAATGAACGGCAGACCAACTGGTACCTAGCTGTCTTTAAGTCCCTGCCTCAGAACAAATGTGCAATTAAATAAAACTGTACGTAAATCTGGATGTAAAAAACAGTCATCATACATTAATGATGAACTTGCTTGCACACTTTTCAGTTCTCTTATTTCTCTCTTGTAGTTTTCTACCTCAAAGTGCATACTGTAGTATTTAATTATTTTAGAACTTTACATGTTCATAGTAAGACTGTCAGTAGTTCTCTTTGAAATTAGTCTTAACTATATATCGCCATCTCTTCATTGTCTTGGTAAACTGAGGCCGAGACAAACGGGGCCTTTGATGTCTCTGCCTGCAAGGCTCCGTTATTGTAATGAAACTCTATTGCATTGTCTCAGCACCAAATGTTTGGCATGACGGAACACAATGCTAATTCTAACTGAGGCTTGCCTGCTTCCGCTGGTTTCAAAGCTGGTGGTGCTTTTTGTTTCCCAAGGGAGTTGCAAGCACTCCCTCACAGAGCCAAGCAGCTTTCAGGCGCATCAATTATTTAGTGCCTGTTGCCTTCAGGGAACTCCTGAGAAATTATGATGAATGCAATCAGGAGACAGGAAATATAAATGTATAAATCTAAAATTTTCCCAGTAGTTTTAATATCTCCTGATCAGGAGTTGCAAAGATTGATTGAAATGCTGTGACAAAATCAGAATGTTTTACAGAACCCTCTCATTGTCACAAAAAATGCACAATCACAAAAAGCACTTTGGTAGTTACGGGAGGCCTTTGAAAGGATTACAAAAGGCACTCTGTTTATAGTGGGTAAATACCCATGTGATGTTGAAATGTTTCCCCTATTCTCCCTGTCTGCACTGAGTTCTTTAATATGAATAAGCATGAATGTTTTAAGACTGATAACTAGTTCAACATGCAGCCAAACAAGAAAATTGTTTTTGTCGCTCATTGAAATTTTATAAGAGGACTAAAGGATGAGTCTTTATTGGACTATATGGATTATATTGAAATACTAAATAACCTTTTAGAGCACAGTTTAGGACATTCCTTCTGGAGTATGATTGCAGCGTACAATATGATAATTTTAATTGTGTTTACGACATAATAAAAGGGAAGAACTGAAATGGCATCAATGAAAAATATTTAACATGGTATAACAAGTCAAAAGTGGAACTAAAATTCAATCACAGAGAAAGAATTCATGTAACTTCACAGTGATTCTATAGAGCAAGACTCAAATAGTTTGGATGAACATACTGTACACAGCAAGAACATTTTACCATTTCATCAGTAACAGAGAAAAACCAAAAGTGATATTCACAAACATAAATAGAAATCTGAAAGTTGGAGGGATAAAATGTCCTTTGAAGTGCAACAGAAGGTGTGATTTTAGCTAAATGGCATTGTATTTGGTTGCCAAAGCAAATGAAAATATTCCAGTGTAGCAGTCATTAGCTTCAGAATTAATCCAGCTTCAGTGTACAGACAAGAATTTGGTGATGCATACAGGAGCTGAAAACAATTTGCTTTTATAAATACATTTTTATTTACAGTAACACTGATACTTGCTGGTAACAATACTGTAGTAATTCTCTAACCACAACAAGCATATTTCATATATGACCCTAACAGATTAGTATTAACAATGTCAAAACATTTAGAAGGGTCAGATGAGCTAGCAGCCCCCATGAGCGTCTGTTTTCATAACGTGACAGCTTGCACTCATATGAAAGCCTGAATATCCTGGTATTCACAAAGAAGGGATAGACCCTGGCCTGTCTGGGTAAAGAGGAAAGGTGAAGATCTCAAAATGACCAAAGAATAACATGAAAGAGATGTGAGAGAGAAGACTGTGTGTTTGTGTACAAAGGTGCACAGGCACACATAGCCAAGTGAGAGCCCAGTGGTAATTTAGCAGTTCTCAGCAGATTGTCTTCAGGGAAGAGCTAATATGGGCAGTTGGTTGCTATCTGTGTGTGTTTCCGTGTGTGTGTGTTTGGCAGCATTTCATTTCATAGTGAGAGTTCTGCTGACCTTGGCATACTCAAGATTTCATCCCAGTGGTGTCTCATCCCCCCTCTTCTCCGTCTCTTTCTCCTCTTCCTCTTCCTCTCACCCTCACCCCACCCAAATTCCCTTCCAGGACAGTGCTATTCTTTTCCCTTTATGAAAACGAGCCAAAATGATTCAGCAGATCCAGAAAAAAAACCCCACCAGCATCCCTATCCTTAACCTGAATAATTCCTTACAAGTCTGTGATTATTTAACAGACAGGATGTGTGGTGGTTAGACTTTCAGAGTGTGAAGACTACAGCCAGTAGAATGCCTAGATGCAATCATTAAGACGGCTCTGTGTTAAAAAGTCTTGTGGCTGTTTGACTTTTCCTGTCATCCTCATTTCTGCTGGCTCATACCTTTCAGGGTAAACCATGGCAGAGATCTCATTATTTCAAAACATGGCTGTCAGAAAGGCAGAGATGCAGTGAATGGCAGATTGAGGTTTTTCTGTACTTGTTATTTTTCTCTTCACTTCAAACACAATCCCATCAAATATAGTAGACATATTATAGTGAACAACTATAAAAGTTCCAAATTTGAATGTGAAGTTCCAAATGAGCACACAGACCAATAGCTGCATATTGTTGTTAGATTTCTAAAACATTTGTCCTCACGAAAGTTAAACACTCCACAGTGAGCATAAATAGTTTTAACATTGGAAATGATGGAGGGAAGTTTTGACTGCTGCTACACACAGGCATTTTTCTTAGTGTTTAAACTGTGCTTCAGGTTGACAGCAGTAGAAGCCACCCAGTGTTGCTGCTAGTCTTCCTATGGGAAAACAACTGGCAAAGCAATTCAAGTGAAATGACAACAAGTGCTTTTTATGTTGTTTGTAAAATGCCTGACGGTCTATGAACATGTGCGCGCTGAATGTGTATGAAATATCCATGAGAGTTGTTTCTTTCATGAAGGGGATTGATGACATAATGTCAGATGGCGTGGGCGATATGGATACAGTTTTTCATCAAGGTCTAATCCAGTTAATGAAATACCTGACAAATCAAGGTGTTTCATCCCATTGATGCAAAAATACTAGAAGTCATTGCTGCTCGTTCTTCTTTAACATTGTCAACAATAGTCTAATGCAACCAGAGATATTAAAGTTAGTACAGCTTATAGTAACATTACAGCACATTGAGCATTGAAATGAGTACAAAATGTACTCACTTCCCATAAGAAATACTATATCAATCACAAATCAGAGGATGAGAGAACAGGTTGAAAATGATTTTGAAGCTTCAAACTGGGGTGTGAGCTTTCTACTCAATATTGGGACTATATCTCAGATGTTTGCAAATTATGTTCCAGTATATTTCAGAAGTTTTGAATCATATTTTAAAGGTCTTTTTGAAATCCTGCAGAACGTATTATATATTAATAAATCAATAAATGCTAATGTAGATAAAGCTCATGTTATATCATACTGTGTCCTTTTTAATATACAGAGACGCATGATTGGGAGTTATATAAAGTACAGGATTTACATCAGTGTTTCAGGTATCCAGCTGATTCTCTTATTCAGTGTGATGTAGAGCACAATGAGTGGGTGACACAAGCTTCCTGCGTGCTGACATTCCAACTGTTTCTGATGTGTCTGTCTCATGGAATAACATAAGTCATTATTGCGTGTCCTTACAGAAGTCTCCTCTTTTGTGTTTCAGACTGAATCTGTGTAGGCATCCATCCGCTCTCCTGGCAGGAAGCAGACATGTTCTTTAGCTCTGTTCCAGTATGGTAAGTTCATCTTTTGTGTCTCTATTAGCATGAATAAATGTGTTCCTCAGGGAAAAAGAGCAGGGCTTCATGCATGACTTGTTATAGATTTTAATAACCCTGTGTTGGCTATGAATATTCCTAGTGCTATGAACAGGCGCAGGTCAAGGAGTGCCAGACATTACCCACTTAAAAGAAAAGCTATTCTAAAAATAAAAATGTCTTTCATTTAGGGAAACTAATGTGGAAACAAAGATAGTAGTCAAAGATGTTAACCTGACTCTTTTTGTCTTCCTCTCCTTGTTTATCTTTACATATTTTTAAGGGAGAGAGGCAATTTGGACACAGTCGAAACCGTGACATGATTGAAAGAGCTTCTGTCAGCCTTGCACTATGTCAGATTCCGTCTTGAAGATGGTAGTTGTATACAAACTCACCCACAGGTGCATTGATAGCGGCTGAATCTGTGGGTGGCTTTTCAAAATAGGCCAGCAGAACAAACTGTTCTTTTCACATACAGCTTTTTTTTAATCTGCTGACAGTCAGATCAGATTAAAAAATAACTTGCTTTTGACATCTCTTTGTCAGCTCAGTGTTATAAAAAGTTTTGATAAAGAACTAATGAATGTTAGTACTGATGCTCTGATGTACTACTGTGTACCCCTCTTGGAGGTTTTCTACAGTATTTAGAGCAGCCATATTCTATATAACGTGGCATTGGAAATATTGTCTTATACTACAAAAGCTTGTAGAAGTAATGTTGCATAACCATACAAGTCTATTTCTAGGAAATGGTTGCCTCAGTAAAAATGTACACATTTTATAAATGTTATATTACAGCTTTACCCACAGTGATAAAGGCACTCTGTATTTGTTGTTCAAGTGATCTCAAAATGGAGGCACAAACACGTGGCCCTAGGGCTAAACATTGGTATACAAGGGTTGGTTAGGGCGAGTGCAGCCCAGGGGCATAAATCGAGAATCATTAAAGCTGTTCTCTTGTACCAGTCCCTGTCATTGTGCTTAACATGATAAGAGCAGCTCACAGATCCATGCCAACTGCTGTGCCCGTTCAGCTTTCCCAAATTGTACTTCTGGGTTATGGGGGGTTATGGGGGAGGATGTGGCACAGTGGAACGGAAAGCAATGGAGCATGATGTAGCCAATTATTGCTAAATCTCTTGTTAATTATCATTTTTTTCCCTTTTTTAAACAGTGTAAGTGGTAACAACATTGATACTGTTTTTATGGAAGACTCAAGCAGGTTGTTTTATTTTAATTGCTAATATGACTAATCAAAGACAGGGTGGAAATGTTGCCTGAGGTTTATGGGGATCTAGTAAAAACCTGATAGCTGTGGGGAGAGTGACGAAATGGAAGCAGACGCTGCTGTTACTAGCCTGCAGTTACTGGTATTGTGATGACAGTAAAAATGATCTATACCAACTGTAGCTTTTCAGGCAGCTTGCGAGTCTTGGAAGACCTATGAAGAACTCAGTGTGTAACACAGAATGGAGGTGCAAACAGTAATTTACCAATTTTCCCCCCTTAAAAGAAAATCACATTTGAAATACAATTTGTGCTGTTGCTACTATCTTGGAAATGGTCAGGGTAGATTAGTGAAAAGCAAAAGTGGGTTGGATCATGTTCTGTGAAAGATGTTTCACCCATCAGTACATCACAAATCTTAAGAGGGAAAGGTCAACAATGTGTCTCAAATTATCTTAAGAAAATCTTTTTTTTATGTCATCAAGAGATACTTTGTGTAATTTTTTATATATGGGCACAGCTAAAATTGCAAGCTTGAAAAGTAATCCCGGGGGATTTACTGGGGATGTGATTTTGCATGTATTAAGTTAGAGGCCTAATCAGTGCAAAACAAAGCTAGTTTTAGAAAGCGTAGAAATCTGTCCATAGCTCAATAAAGTGTTACTTGATAACATAATAAATAAATTATCATCTTTGAATTTTATTATTGGATATTGACCTCAGGTTCATTTTCACAGATACTGACTGAAGTGTAGTTAAAGTGTATGTGAGTTTAGTGAAGATAGTTATTTGAAAGCTATCAAATGAAGTTCATTGCCAGCAAACTTTGTTTTTTGATGCAAAAGTGGACATGGATAAAAAAATAAAATAGATGGGATTTTGTGTATAAACAGATAAAAATTGGGCAAAACTGTTTATTTGATGATCTAAGTGAAACTCTTCAGTGTTTGAGGATTCTATTAAAAGATTTCTTGAGGCTTAGGTGACTTCACTTTAAGGTGCCAAGATGTTAATACCTCCAGCACCTTCTTAGAAATTAGACACAGTACCTCTAATCAGTATATCTAACAACCAGAGTCAAAAAGTTGTTTTCAATAAAAAGCTAGAATAAACAGCTAACACAGTTTAGGAACAGCAAGACAAGTCGATACAAGGAGTTTCTCTACATGACACTTTACATGATTCCTGCCCACATGATCTCAGAATTGTTCATTGATTCAAGTAGGGCTTCTCTTTTGCCATCTCTGTTTGTGATGGACACATGTTTCATTGCCCCGGTGCAAGAGGAGGACATTACTCGCTGTTTTGATGGCAGAATTTGCGTTTGGAATAACTTAAATGGATGCATACATGACACACAAGAGCCATTATGAAAGTGGTGAGGAATAAACATAGAAAAACATTTGGGTTTATAATCTATGACAAGGCTAGCGTCGTTAATCAGCCTATAAGCCAGGGAGCACTTAGTTTCCAAAAATTCACCAAAGAGCCAGCAAGAGCGAGGATGAAGGATAAAAATCTATTTTGTACATCAAGAAGAGAATGTGGGCACACAAACGCAAAACTGAGCTGGCACCGCTATAGAAGCCGAAACGCATAGGGAAACAAGTTCAAGTGCTGTTCAATCCCGACAGTTCATCTAATGAATGTGGTCATTATGCCAAGCTTACCTGCTGTTGATCAGTGTAACTAGTGTCCCTACTCAGATGTCCCTCAGGGATAGCATCGAGACCTCCAGTACTCAATCTTTGTTATAACACAGCGATCTTGTATGATATGCGCAAGGTTCACCTCTTGGTAGCATACACTCTCCACATGAGTTGGCACTGGGATACAAGGCCCGCACTGGCACGACTCAGTACTACTTTTAAGTTCAGACATCTTTTCACTTTCGCCGCTGTTGTCGGTCCCCATGGGAACTGTTCTTATCACTATATTTGCTCAAAGGAAGGTTTTTTCCCATCTCATCAAAACTCTCAAACTCAAACATGTAACAGCTAGCTTGGCTGCTCTGAAGTACAGTGTTGTGCAAGCGTTCCTGCTAAACAACCATTCTTGTCTCGTCAGCCTGGGCGAAAACAAAGATGTATTAATAAATCAATATAATGTATTTTGCTTGTGGTACATCTAATTAATTCAGTTATTCATACTGAAGTTATATATGTGTGCATATTTGGCTCTTTCATCTCCTTTTTAAAGATGATGTTTCTCCAATATTCTTTGTGTTTATTCTCTGTTCTCTGCTGAATTGTGTAATTCAGGGATCTCAGATACAGTAAAATCATCTCCTGTGTTGTTTTACTGGCTGGTGTTTCTATGGTTGCTATGGTAGCACGATGAGCCGTGGAACCAAGTTGGAAAAGTTGAACCATCGTGAAGTCTGCATGCAACTGCAAATAACTGTGTACTGTCACCTCCATCTCCAACCTTGGCAGTCTTTACATTTTCTCTCTCATATATACTATCTAATTAACACAAAAATGTTATAAATAACTCAGTGTAAACAGTGTTAGTGTTCCTTCCTTTGAAGACACAATTGATGAACTTACAGATTGAATATTGAAACACATCTCTATCAAACAGAAGTGTGATGAGAAATGTGGTGAGGCATATTTGCTAAGGGTTTGCATTTGCTTGGATAAATCTTGAATTTATATGAACCTGACATCAAAGCTGACAACCAGAAGCCCTGGAATTCAGAGGTACTTGTCTTAATTGTTAATCCTGTCTATGGATGCTGAACACCTGCATTGCGGTGTTGGGGAAACAAATAAAATACACTGAGGTCAAACTAGTTCTGACAAATTGTAATTACTGTTGGTATTCAAACACATTGAAACAATACAATAAAACTATGCAGAACAAAAATGAAGGAAAATTAAAATAAAAGTAAGACCTGTTATTAGAATGCGTCTTGGGTGATCTGATCACAAGTGGACAGCTTTAAGCATGTCAGTTTACACCTGGCATTAGAATGCGTCTCCACATGTGTCTCGAGTGACCACTTGTGATCGGATCTCATTTAATGCCAGAGAAAGTGAAAGTGAAAGTGCACCAGAAGAAGTCACGCATTGTGTGTGTGCTGGATTGCCGAAGTTCAATAATTACAAGTCCACATAACGTTTATGTTTATTACGTTTCTCCTCCTTTTATTTTTTGCGGAATCGTGCGTTTTACTAGTTCGGTGGCCAAATCAATTGAACACAATGCTCTAAGAACCCAAGCACAAATTTGTTACAGTGAACTAAATGGACAGCGCCTTGTGTGTATAGAAGACGGGGGTTAAAAAGGGGGTTTTTTTTTTGGGCCCCAAAAAAACAGTGTTTACACTTCAAAAGATATGTGGTCAAATGCGTCCCAGACTAGCTCAGCAAGTGGTTTGAGTGGTCGTATCAGAATGCGTCTCAGAACTGCTCACTTGTGATCGGATCACCCAAGACACATTCTAATACCAGGTGTAAACAGGCTTTAAATGATTACTAAAAAATGTTATGATAATGTATTAAACATTTTCATATTAACAGTAGGGCTGCTTCCAACTAAACATTTTCTTAGTTGACTAGTTGTCCTTAGTGAAAGCCGATAATCGACTTGTTCAGTCAGACAACTCACGTTTTCCATTAGTATAACATAATTACATTTTGGCGTCTAGGCTCCGACCTCACCACTCCCCACAGATTTACCTAGAGATATTGGGGAGGGACGAGCAAATACCTTAAACCCCCTAGCCGGAGACTACAGGTGGATGTTGG